GACAGTAAGATTTCAATATTTAAGAATTTAAATTTTCAAAAATCCAAACTGTATTTCAAACATTTTTTTCGCTTCTTTTTCAATCGATATGTCATAAAGATATATATGATATTAATCTATTTAAAAGTCTTAAATATTTAAAAATTTAAATTTTTAAAAATCCAAATTGTATTTCAAATATTTTTTTCGCTTCTTTTTTAATCGATATATCATAAAGATATATATGATATTAATCATAAAACATAAAATATATTATATTAAATCATAAAATTATATATGCTTTAATTAGAAAATTTTAACACCAAAACTATAAATGATATGAAAAAATGCCATCAATTATAGAAGAACTAATTATGTGTAATTAATTTCTGTACTTTAAAATTAAAACATAGAATCTCGCAAAATATTTTACGAATATAATTTAGTAACAAATTAAAAGAAAAAAAAAGCAAAAAAAGAGATAATTAATTAAAGCTTACAGCCGGCAACAAGATTGACAGCTTGAGAATTAAGAAGTAGCAAGCTCAAAATCATCAATCCGAGGACACATTCCATTTTGTGCATAGCGACATGAAAAAAAAAAAATTTAATTCAAAAAATTTGCATGAATAAATGGAATATAAAGCAAAAACTAGTATTAATTTAAATAAAATTTATGCAAATTAATACATTTTTGAACACAAAAAAAAATTTTTATTTATTTTTTCTAATATCCATGCAATTGTTCGTTTTTTTTTTCTAACCTTTTATCAAAAAAAGTTGCAAAAATTTATTTGCATAAAGTATTATTGCAAATTTTATAAAAAAAAAAAATGAAAAACTCGAACTGAAACTTTTATTCTATCTTAAAAGAAAAATAAACAAATTAATGAAATTTCTGTAGGAAAATGGTGATAAAACAATTGTGGAATATTTTTTAAATACTTTTAAATGTCAGCAATTGAAATGATTTTTTTTTTTTGTAAATGATTTTTGCAACATAAACAAAATTTTCATTTTGTAAATTGAAATTGAAAAAGATGAAAGAGATGATAGGAAAGTGTTGGCAAATTTTTACTAACAAAAATAAATGTAAATTAAAACAGAAATGTATTAGATGAAGAAACGGATAACATTTGGATGTTAATTTTTCGGTTATATTTATCAGTGACAATAATTTTTCAGCAAAAAAAAAAAAGAAAAAAAATACGAATTTATTTATTTCATCAGAAATATTTTGAAAATTATCAATCTTTTGTAAGACAATTTTTACATCTTTATTAATTAGTTGAAAGCCGAAATTACTTCGACATTTATTATCTATAATTAGATATGATCAGTTTGATCCTTACATTTACCTTACCTATTTTCCCTTATCATTTAATGATGCTATATTAATAATTTGACCAAATTCTAATCATTGGATAAATTTAATATCTATTATTAGACAATTTTTTTATTTTTTTTTGTCTTTAGAATTTAATTTTTTAAGCTACCATAATATATCAGTGATACGAAATTATCTTTATCACTTCATTGTATTTATGATGAAGTGAAAATGACCCAATTTTGAACCTACGATTTATAGAAAACAACCAATCAGCAAGATGAACAAGATCAGACAATCAAACCCCAAATGAATGATATGATTGATTAAAAATGAATATATATAAGGTTGGAAAAAATGAATAAAATTAAGGTAATTATTTTAAAAAAATGAATAAAGTTAAGGTAATTATTAAAAAAATGAATAAAATTAAGGTAATTATTTTAAAAAATGAATAAAATTAAGGTAATTAATAAGAAAAATGAATAAAGGTAATTATTAAAAAAAATGAATAAAATTAGTCCACTTGAAATTTTGCATACAAAATTATAATAATTTTAAATTAATAATTCTCGATTGACAATCCGCGAAGGTTGATAGCGCGGTGAGCAAAAAGAAAAACAAGCTGAAGTTATTCTAAATCAATAATATATGAAAAAGCACTTGAAAGTTTTGATTCTTAAAAGTTCTTGAAAGTTTTGATTAAAATTTCTTTTTAAATTTACAGAATTTATTACTGTTGAAGAACCTTATTGTCTTTGTTACAAA